AGCTCTGCCTTCTTGTCTCTGACAGTTCAGGCCCTCTGCAGTATGGGTTCTTCTGCCCCACCTTTACGGCTTCATCTTCCACTTTGCCTCTTAGCTTTTGTCCAATTCAGCCTCTCACAAGCCTCTGTGGGGGCCCCCTGTCTCAGGACCTCTGGTCATGTTGTTCGTCTCCCCAAATGCCTGGATCCTTCAATATCTGCTTCAAATGCCAATGTTGTCACAACCTTCCCTGACCTCTCCACCTTCTCCTTTCTCTAAACCACATGGCACCATATGTGGACCTCCCTTATGGAACCCACCGTATTCCACCTTCAATAATGAAAGTATTATACCAGCACCACCAAGGACAACAATGGCAACATTTGTAAACACTCCAATGTGTCAGGCACTGTTCTGAGCACTTAAAAGTATGAGATTATTTAATAATCAGGATAACCCTGTGAGGGACTTCTGCTTCTGACCAAGAGAGAATAAAAGTATTAGATTTACCCCTCAACTAAAACAAAACAGAACAAACAAAATCTATGGAACAGTGCTTTTCAGGACACTGGATAGCAGTCAAAACTGATCCCTAAGAAGTAAGAAATAAAGGAGTTTAGCTCTGTCATTGCCCCAACTTACTGCTCACAAAGGGTTTCCAGGCTGAGGCACAGCAAGAAGGAGCCCAGGAGGTCTATTCAGGTAGACTCCTTGAGTGTAAAACACAAAGCTAAGAATTTGGGGAAGCCGAGTCAGCTGGATTTCACAGGACAGAATCCCAGCAAAGAAAGAGCTGCACAGAGAGAACTCCAGAGATGTCCGCTGGGTCCCCTTGAATATTCTGCTGAGACCTGCTCAACACTTCCATGGAAGAAAATTACTCAAAAATAGGGGAAAGACCACCCAAAATACTTAGAAGAGTACACAGCACTCACACCGAGCTGGGGATAGTGGCAGTTCCTGCTAGCCAGACCAGAAAGCCTCATAATTCAGAGGACATCAAATATAGTCCCCAAAAGGTCTTGCCTTAGCAGTGAAATAATGAGCTCTAAACTGGTCCCCCATAAAAGTGCTTATAAACAACCCAAAAGGTTAGCCTGTTTCCAAGTAGCTTACCTGCATCTCAGAACAAAGCTGAAGAATAATTATAGAAACATAAAAATATCCAGGACCCAACAAGGTAGAATTTACAATGTCTGTAGTTCAGTTAACAGGAAACAAACAGGAAAATATAACTCCCCATGAGAAGAAAAATCAACCAATTGAAACCAATTCAGAACTGACACGAATGTTAGAATTGACAGAGAATGGCATTAACCCATTTATGCCTAGTGTTCCATTATTGGAACATTAGCTGTGGGAGTTATTTATATCGTACTGCTCAAGGTCAGCACCAACATCTGAGTTTTCACACACACAAAATTGCGACCTCCACCATAAATGGGGTAAAACAGTCATTATAATTGTATTTATATATTCAAGAAACATTAAGTATAGATATGGAAGACATAAAAAGATATATCTGTATGTCTGTATTTACATCTGTATCACACATATTTTTCTTCTCTAGAAGTTTGATTTGAATATACACAGACATACATGTGTGTGTCACCCAGGCTGGCATGCAGTTATGTAATCTTGGCTCACACTGTGTGTGTGTGTGTGTGTGTGTGTGTGTGTGTGTGTGTGTGTGTATGGGAATTAACAATTGCAGGAAAAAAAATAGTTTGAAGATGTAGCAATAGAAATTATCTAAAATGAAAACAGAGAAAAGTGAACAGAGTACCAGTGAGCCATGGGACAACTTCCGGTGGCCTAAATGTGTGGGTAGTTGGAATTCCTAGAGAAGAGGAGAGAGGAAAAGAAGGATGATAACATATTGGAAGAGTTAGTGGCTAAAATTTTGCCTAATTTGATGACAACTATAAACTCACAGATTTAAGAAACTCAGTGAATTCCAAGCATAAGAAACTTGAGGACAATTTTTCCAAAGTATTTGATAATCAGATTCCTCCAAACCACTGATAAAGAGAAAATCTTAAAAGCAACTGAAGGAAAAAGATTTATTATGTACACTAAAGAGCAAAGATTAGGTTGACAGCAGATTTCTCGTTTCAAATAATGCAAGTAAGAAGACAATGGAGGGATGTCCTCAAAACAATGAGGAAAACCTGCCACCTAAAATTCTATATTCAGAAAATATATCTTTCAAGAATGAAGATGAAATAACTTTTTTCAGACATACGGTGCTGAAAGTTTTTATTACTAGGAGATTCATACTGCAAGAAATGTTACAGGAAATCAGTCAGAAGGATTTTCATAACAGATAGAAATCTAGAGCCATACACAAAAAAAAGGAGCTCTGGGAATGGTAACTACATGGGTACATATGTTAGATTCTCTTTTTATTTAAAAAATGTTCCAAAAATTTACTGGTCATACATCCAATGGAATATTATACAGCCATAAAAATGAATGAAGTTTTGATACAGTAAGCAGATGAACTTTGAAAACCTTATGCTAAGTAAAAGAAGCCAGACACAAAAGGTTGTTATTCTGTAATTCCATTTATATGAAATATCCAGAATAAGGAAAATCATAGAAACAGAAGATTGGTAGTTGCCAGGAACTTGGGGTGGGAGGACTGGGGAATAATTGCTTAGGAGGTGTGGGGTTTGCTTTTGCTTTGGGGATGGTGAAAATGTTCTCAGAGTAAATAGAGGTGGGGGCTACTCAATCTTAAATGTCACCTAATTGTTGACTTTAAAGTAGTAAATTTTGTGTTATGTGCATTTCACTTGAATACAAGAACATTTTAAAGACTGACTTGTTTCAATGCAAATAATAACAAAGTAGTGTGAAGTTTATAACACATATAAAATTAAATGTATGACAGAAATAGCATGAAGACCAGGAAGCAAGAAATGGAAGTAAATTCGCATAAGGTGTGTAAGCCAAAAGTATCTGAGACAGGTGTCAATCAATTTAGAAAGTTTATTTTGCCAAGGTTAAGGACACACCCATGATGCAGCCTCAGGAGACCTTGATGACGTGTTCCCAAGGTGATTGGGGCACAGCTTGGTTTTATACATTTTAGGTAGGCATGAGACATCAGTCAATATGTGTCAGATGTACACGGGTTTGGTCTAGAAAGGTAGGACAACTTGAAGCGAGGGCTTTCAGATCATAGTTAGATTAAGAGATTTTCTGATTGGCAATTGGTTGAAAGAGTCATTGTCAATAGAAAGGAACATCTGGGTTACACTAAGGGGTTGTGGAGACCAAGGTTTTATTATGCAGCTGAAGCCTCCGGGTAGCAGGCCTCAGAGAGAATAGATTCTAAATGTTTCTTATTAGACTTCAAGAGTGTGTTCTATCTGAAATTTCAAAAGGAAGGAAGGTATAAGAAGGCATGTTCAGCTCCTCCTTCCCATCATGGCCTGAACTAGTTTTTCAGGATAACTTTGACATCCCCTTGCTGAGAGGATGGTTGGAGGGCCTTAGAATTTTATTTTTGGCTCTTGTACTCCATGTGAAGTGATACAACATCACTTGAAGGTACCCTGGGTTAAGTCGAAGATGTGTACTATAAACCCTAAAGCAGCCACTAAAACAACAAAGCAGAGTTATAGCTAATAAAGCCACAAAGGGAGGGAAGGGGAAGCATAAGAGATGCTCAGCCCAGAAGAAGATGGTAAAAGGTGACTCTCAAAATAATTATGCTCAGTCAAAGGCCAGGCACAGGGGCTTATGCCTGTAATCCCAGCACTTCGAGAAGCCAAAGCAGTGGATCACTTGAGGCCAGGAGTTCAAGACCAGCCTGGGCAACGTGGTGAAACCCCATCTAAACTAAAATTACAAAATTAGCTGGGCATGCTGCTGCATGCCTGTAATCCCAGCTACTCAGAGGCTGAGGCAGGAAAATCACTTGAACCTAGGAGGTGGAGGTTGCAGTGCACCGAGATTACATAACTGCATGCCAGCCTGGGTGACAGAGCGAGACTCTATCTCAAAAAAAAAAGCTAGACAAAAAAAGATGTACTGTATGTTTCCACTTATAGAAAACTCTAAAAAATGCAAACTCATCCATTGTAACTGAAAGCACATCAGTGGTTGCTGAGTGGGGGCAGGGGGTGGGATTACCCAGAACATGGACGTGTTTACTACCCTGGTTGTGGGGATGATTTCATAGGGGTAGAAATATGTCAACATTTATCACAATGTGTACTGTAATTATGTGCAGGTTATTGTACAGAAGTTACAGCTCAATAAAGATGTTTTGATAAAAAGTGAGCTAAACTCTATGTGTTGGATGGTATTGCCGTCTCTGCTTTCTAGATGAAGACGTGTAGTCATGCAGAGCTTAATGACTTAGCCAAGGTCAAGTAAACCCTGGGCACCTGGCTTAAAGCCTACATGGAACAAAAGAAACAGAGAAGTGAGAATGCTTCATAGGGGCTGGTTGGGAACTACAGACCCAACGGACAAATAGTAGAATTTCAGGAAGAGAGGGTGGGAGGACATTTCAGTCACTGCATAGAGGGCAAGCCACAGAAACAAAGCACGTGGTGTGTAGAGCACAGCGCAGCTGGGAAAGGAAGTCCCGGATGTCCATGTATGAGTGAGTGGGGTAGGGGCAGAAGAACAGACCACACCTGTCCAGGGGGACCTTGGCTGGGATTGAGGTGGGGAGTTCCTTGGATCCCATGCTAAGGAGTTGAACTTTCATCCTCTAGGACATGGAGAGACTTTGACGGGTTTTCAGGAGAGCAACAGGCTCGGGTGACTCTTGAGGATGATGCATATGGAATGAAGGCTGGCTGGACTCCCTGAGCCCCTGGCGTCTTCATAAGCAGGGACAGGCTTGTCTGATGTTGCTCCCTGTGGGTTCCCAGTGCGTCTGCATTGTAAACCTTTGGTGGTCCTCAGGCTCCCGGGTCTGTGCACTCTGAAAGGCTGCTTGCTCTCCTGCCCCCTCCTCATTGCTGTCTGGGTTTGCGTTCATTCCTATCCCCTCCCAGGTCCGAGGTGAATTGCTACAGGAGAGAGTGCAGCGGCTAGAGGCGCAGGAAGGAGGCTTTGCGCAGTCGCTTGTTGCTCTGCAGTTCCAGAAGGCAGCCCGGGTGACCGAGACCCTGTCGGCCTACACCGCCCTCCTCAGCATCCAGGACTTGCTCCTGGAAGAGCTGAGTGCGTCTGAGACGCTGACCAAGTCGGCCTGCGTGCAGATTCTGGAGTCACACAGCCGGGTGAGTGCCGGCGCTGGGAAGGAGGGGGACAGAGCTGCTTCCTTCTGGTACCCGCCTCTGCGTCTTCCCCTGTCCTGTCTCTGCCGCCGGTTGTGGTGAGGATTAAATGAGGTGACTTATTAGAGAGTACTTTGCACTCTCTCAACCCAAGATGGCTCTATTTAATCGCTCTGAGAAGCAACCGTTTTGGATTTTAACATCTCTGAAACTTGGCAGGTGCCGTGGTTTCGTTGGCAGAATTCTTTCATTGTGCTGGGGAAGACAATAGTGTATCTTCCAATTAGCGGCACCCTCGATGCAACAATATATTCGGTTGTTTATTATTTTTAAAATTCTAATTATAAGCATTATCGCAACATGCCACATTCTTTCCAAAATGTGAGAGGTATATCTGTAAAACAAAAGCGATGGTAATAACTGTTTTGGTGACTACTTTTAGGCCTTTTATGTGTAGATTTTAGAATTTCACTTATCTATTATTATCATAATTACTTATAGTGAGGAAAAAGGCCCTCACATTTGTTGAATCCCTAGTATGGGGAGGGAGGCGCCTCTAAGTTGTGAACAGACACGCGATCACTGAAGTGTTCATAATTCTTAGTTACATTTATTAAGATTATTACTTAAGCATGATTAATAAGAAGGTGCAATTTAATGCTACTTTCCAATTATGCTCTTTGTCATTTTATTCATTATTTAGCTATGTGGTGAAATAGATACTGCGATTATACTCAGATCTCGGGTAAACTGAGACTGGGGCAGGTGGCAGGTCAAGTTCTTTGTAAAGACCACATGGCTGATGACAGGAGCCAGGAATGGAATCTGTTTCTGATTTCAACCCATTACGTCAGGTCTATGGACTGTATCAGTTGAGTTTGCCATGTGAGGCTCCCATTACTTTCTTTAAAAAGTAACAACAGTAGATGCTGAAAAGTCTAAAACTGCTTTGGGGGTGGGCAGACAGTATGCATCCTGCACTGTAACAGCTATTTTACGGATAGAAAGAAAGCAAAAGCGTAATCCCAGCACTTTGGGAGGCCAAGGCCAGTGGATCACGAGGTCAAGAGATCCAGACCATCCTGGCCAACGTGGTAAAACCCCATCTCTACTAAGAATACAAAAATTAGCCGGGCATGGTGGCGTGCTCCTGTCAGCCCCAGCTACTTGGGAGGCTGAGGCAGGAGAATCACTTGAACCTGGGAGGCAGAAATTGTAGTGAGCGAGATCACACCACTGCACTCTAGGCTGTGTGAAAGAGTGAGACTCCGTCTGAAAAGAAAGAAAGAAAAAGAGAGAGAGAGAGAAGGCGGGGAGGGAGGGAAGGAAGGAAGGAAGGAAGGAAGGAAGGAAGGAAGGGCAGGCGAGTGAGCGTTGTAACTAATTCCTGCATAAAATAGCCAGATGCTGGACAAATGAGAATGCACATATTTTTAATGCTTTGTGAGCTCACAAGGGTCTATGGAAAATCCCCAAATTACTCGAGGATGCAAGATATGTCCTAGAGCAATCTGAACTCACAGAGATAAGTGGAGGCAAATTCAGAAGCCAGTTTTACTACAGAGCAAAGGCTGAAACCTGCAACACAGGGACTTGGGATTAATATTGGAGGAATGGGAGATGAGGCTGTGGGATGTCTCAGTTAGCTAGAACACCCAGTGAGTGGCGGGAGGAGAAAGCCACCTGCTGGAAAAACCCGCCTCCACACCTGCTCCAGGTGAAACTCTTCCTGTGAGTTTTTCATCAAAGGCCTCTGCTAACATGAGGAACAAATCCATATGTATTTTAGCCATCCAGTCATGAAATCTCCAAGGTGATAAATTAAATTAAAATAATTCCAAGTTGGTTAACTGTCTTCTTGCAAAGACAAATCCTCTCCAGAAAAAAAATTTTCTGAATGGAGCAGCTCAGGATTTCCATAGATTAAGTCCAACCGAATATGAGCTCTCGATTGAAGAAAAAAAAGTCACTGAACACATAAAGAAGCCAGGCAAGATGACCTGCATACAGGAGAAGCAAGCAAACGCAGGTTAAGATCCCTGAGTACTTCAGGGATGCCAATTATCAACACAGAATCTAAAATAATAATAATGTGTGAAATTGTTAAAGATATTACAAAAATGATTTAATTTTTTTTTTCTGTTTTTAGACAGGGTCTCACTCTGTCAAGCAGGCTGGAATGCGGTGGCCGGGCAATCCTCCCACCTCCCTCCTCCAAGTAGCTGGGATTACAGAGGCATGCACCACCATGCCCAGCTATTTTTCTTTTATGTATTTTTTGGAGAGATGGGGTTTTACCCCATCTCAACTGGGCTCAAATGATCTTCCTGCCTCGGCCTGCCAAAGTTCCGGGATTACAGATGTGAGGCTACCACACCCGGGCTGATTTTAAAATGTTATTCATCTGGAGCATACAGTGATTTTAAGCTTGCATATATTTAATAAAAGACTCAAAATATCAAAAAGAACAGTTGCTAAAACAGGGAGAAATTGATAAATCTATTATCATAGTGGGAAATTTCTGCATGCTTCTGTCAGTGGTTGATTTATTGATTAAATGAAACACAAGTAAAGATATAGTTGCACTAAACAACACATTTAACAAGGTGTTTTAATACACATAAACAACTGTTATAACTAAAAAATTATGAATATGTATCTCCAGCACATATTGGAACAGTTAAAAATAATTGACTATACAATATTATTTTAATAATTTTTGACAAGGAGAAATTAATTTTAAATCATTTTTTAAAAGATGATTATAAAGTGTCCATGATTTTGACTTTGGAAATTTTAAAATTGATTTTTTAAAATCGATTTTAGATATTGATTTTAGAAAAAAATCAAAATTTAAAAAATTAATTTTAGAAATTGATTTTAAAACATACTTTTGAATAATTTGCAGGTCAGAGATAACATAATGGAAATCTAAAAATACAGAGAATAACTACGATATATGCAAATATGTAGAATTCAGCTAAAGCGTTTTAGGAAGAAAATTTATGCCCCAAACTGATAATAGGGAAGTAGAAAGGCTCACAATTAAGATTACATAAAAAGGGGAAAAGTAAGACATTTATTGTTTTTTATTTTGTTTATACCACATTTCTTCTAAAACATACAGATATTATACCTCAATAAATATTTATTTTCTAATAAGCGGTGATATATTTGAGATTTTGCTTCCAAGTTTCGGGGTGCAGGGGAGGTTTATCAAAAGCTTCAGGCTTTTGGTCTCTCACTCACCCAAGAATGGGAGAGGGGACCACGCCGGACGCAGTGTGCTCATAAGTAAATGTCAAACCCCAAAGAGTTTTTGCAGAAAGGGATTTATTTAGGCAGAGAGAAAGAGAGAGAAAAAAAGATGAAGGGCAGAGAGAGAAACAGCTAGCTATCAAACTGAATGAGGAGAAAGAAAAGCCGCTCTCACACTGAGTGAGATGGGTTCCCAGAGGGGGAAAGCTCCTCTCACACTGAGTGAGAGAATCCAGAAAGATGGAATCCAGGAGAGGGAAAGCAGCTTCCGCAAAGGTAGTGGAAGTGGACCCAAGTATGGAATCCAAGGAGGTGTGAAAGAAGGGGACTTTTAACCTGGGAGGAATTCCCACCTTCTGCAAGCCCCCTTGCCAATGAAAAGAGTTCCTTTAAACTTCCACTGCAGTGATTGATCTTTAATCCTTTCCCATATGCGCCAAAGTTAAACAAAGACCCTTAAGTCTCCCGGATGGAGACATGGGGAAAGGCAGGTAGGGCAGGTCGCTGGCAAGTTCCTGCCCTAAAGACTACACCCCCTTGTGGACCTGGGAAGAGAACACATTCCCTCAGTACATTATTAAAAGTATATGCATTTTGGAAGACCAAAGTGGGTAGATCACCTGAGGTCAGGAGTTCGAGACTAACCTGGCCAACACAGCGAAACCCTGTCTTTACTAAAAATACAGAATTAGCCGGGTGTGGTGGCACATGCCTATAGTCCCAGCCACTCAGGAGACTAAGACAGGAGAATTGATTGAACCCAGGAGGCAGAGGCTGCACTATACTTCAGCCTGGGTGAGCCAGATCGAGACTCCTTCTCAACAAATACAAGTATGTTTCTTCTGAAATATAGCATAAACAAAATTAAAAAACAAAACTGTCATAGACTTGATAAAGCGAAGAGTTGAATCTTTTGAGAAAAGTCTAATAAAATAAACAAACCCTTGGCAAGAGCAACCATTAAAAAAATAAAAGACATTAAGAGTATAAAAAGCAACATGACTATAGAGGCAGTAGAGTTTTTAAAAATAAGAGAATTTGAAAACATACTTTTGAATAATTTACAGGTCAGAGATAACATAAAAGAAAGTTAAAATACAGGGAAAAACTATGATATATGAAAATGTGTAGAATTCAGCTAAAGCAGTTTTAAGAGGAAACTTTAATACACGTGAATTCAAAAACTGAAATGAAATGTAAAATTTCCTAGAAAAATTCAAATGACCAAAATTGACTCAAATAGAAAAAAAGTCTGCATATCCCCGTCACCATGAAAGAAATTGATTCCGTAGTTTAAAATCTTCCAAACACAGACAAAAGACCCTCAACTCCAGTAGTTTTGTAGATGAGTGTTGCTAAAGTTTAAGGTATTTTTCCAAACTCATATATAAATTATTCCTGGTGTTAGAAAAATAGGGAGTGTTCCTCAATTCATTTTACCATGCTAGATAACTTTAACACCAAAACCAGACATGAACAGTACAAGAAAGAACAATTATACTTCAATCTTGCATGTGCACACAGATGTACCATTTGAAAACAAAATAGCAGAATACAGCCATCTATTAAAAAAAAATTAATACATTATGGCCATGTTGGGTTTATTCCAGGAATATAAGGTTGGTTTAACATTAAAACGTCCATTTACAAAATTCACCTGATTAACAAATTAAAGCAGAGTGACTCGTGTGATCATTTTAGAATACAGAGAATAAGTTTTTATGTTAGTCTGTTCTTGCATTGCT